GCCCCCCCCCCCCCCCCCCCCCCCATCTCCCTGACTCCAAAGTACACCACTGACTACAAGGATTTCTTGAGGAACACAAACACAACCAGATAACTCATGCGATGTTCCAGTAACTGCATCTTTACGAGAACTGTCCTGTACAGGTACGCTTTCTTGCCCAGGCTGGGACGTTCTCCCCTCTCTAATGAAACCCAGTTCGATCGCAGAAACATTAGGAAAAAAGAATCGTCAACCTACAACTTAACAAAAAAAAAAGCCTGCTGTCGCCGTCCTCTACCTTCCCTCCTGTACTGTTATAAATATGAGAACGAAACCCAGTTAGACCACTTGCTTCTTATACTGTATGCTAATGTGTTGAAAGAAGTACCAGACCTCGAAGGTAAGGAAGTGTTTCCATGGGGAAATAAAACTGGAAAATAATACCTTTAAAAGTAAATAGAGAAGTGATTGACGTGCCTCTACCACATAGGGTGACCAGAGGTTCCGGTTTTAGCGGGACAGTCCCAGTTTTTCAGGCTTTGTCCAGGTTTGAAATTTTATTTCCATTCTGGTTTCCCGGTTTTTCCACATTGCAAGGATTAAGGCCAGGTTCATACTCGTACTGTACAGCGTGCTGGATGCTGCAACTGCATACTGTCCGATGGAACATGCCCGTGTTGGTTTGGAATTTGCCGTTGCTGTACGTGCTGTACAGCACGAATATGAACTCACCCTAACATTTGAGCATTCTCAGTTTTTCCTGAAAAAAAACCTGGTCAACATACCCTACCAAAAGCATTTACCTTTTGAGTGGTAGGAAGCTTATCTGGGAATAGGAGATAAGTTGATATGAGCGCTGGACCTCGACTCGGGATGCTAAAGCAAGCAGAAGTGCCATTAGGCGTCCAGGAATAAACCTGGAATCTTCCTTCAGAGACAGATATGGCATCCATGAGGCTGTGCATCATGTCTGCGCCCATGACTACAGTGGTGCATCGTCTTTGACTTCATATCTTCTCATTGCATACGGCTTCGTTGACTCCTGACTCACTCACCCCATCCATGATAATTTTTCCTGTGCAAAAATGTCTAAAAGACGTATAGAAGACGGTTCTCGGTATGAGAAGATTCAGTTTCTCGGTGAAGGACAGGTAGGTCCTACATGGTTCAAAGTTTGTGTAGGGACAGCAAGATGCATTTTTGCCTAAATTGGCATTCCACGTCAAAGTCGAGCGTTCATGTAAAATAGGTTTAAAGATACAGTTTCTCACTTGACTTGAACACTCATGCCTGAGAAATATCCAATTGTGCTGAAGCCAAGTCTGACTCAAATAGAAGACACTAGATCTTTTTGTCCTTTTGGTGCCAAGAGGACTGACATTAGGTTAGCAGACTGTAGTAGAGATCTGAATCTCTGTCAATGTCATTTTAGCTCTCGTTCTAGCCTGGAAGGTGAACAATTATCCCACAATCCCAAGGAGAGTTCTCTCCACTATTCCTTCCTTTCAATGCAATTCAATAATTAATGAGTTAGAGTGGTTAGAATTCACTTAATCAAAATATTTGACGATGGAAATAGCATAAATAAGAGGAAATTATACATGAGAAGGGTTTGTTTTGCTTTCAAGGTTTGATCAAATTATCCCACTGCTAACAATAGCCAGTGATTACACTATTTGATTTACTCAATGCTAAAAGCCTATGAAGGTATGCTTGATCTTTTTGAGTTTTGATGTATAGGCATAGTGCAGGCTATGGTAACCTTATGTCTAAGCTAACTCATTTCTAACAACCTTTTAAATCCTATGCGTAATCTATTTTTGCAGTTTGCCACTGTCTACAAGGCACGAGATGCTGAAGAGGACAAGATAGTTGCAGTAAAGAAAGTAAGGTTTTCACTGTAATAGGCCTGGGTGAGATCAAACTCAAAGTTTTTGTCTTCGTTATTTTTTATTGGATCCATCTACATTCCAGATAAAGCTAGGGACAAAGCGAGAAGCAATAGATGGGGTCAACCGAACTGCATTGCGTGAAATCAAGCTCCTCCAAGAACTTCATCATCCCAACATCATTGGACTCCTTGGTGGGTTTTGTTTCTCATGAATGAGATTAAAAAACCATTTTATTTGTGAATTAAGAGAAATTTACCATGAACTCAATGTGTAGATGTGTTTGGACAGAAGTCCAATGTTTCGTTGGTATTTGACTTCATGGACACAGACCTGGATGTGATCATCAAGGATACATCAATTGTATTATCTCCTGCCCACATTAAAGCCTATATACTTATGACACTTCAAGGACTTGAGTACCTTCATCTCCACTGGATTCTTCACAGGGTATGCCATATTTCTCATTGCATTTTCTTTGTTTTTTGATCATGTTTCTGCATGTGGAATGGTAGACTTGGTAGCTGCAGGAAAAAAATAATTTAAAAATAAGATTGCAAGTATATAAATTTTTGCCAATATCAAATGTTAACTTCAAGAGTTTAAACTTCAGTATTTTTATTCCAGCATTGAAGTACCTGGATGTATAATGGCAACTTGCACTGCATTCTGTACCTAGGTCTAAGCTACCTTTGTGCTAACAATGATTTCCATTGTTTGGTACTTTTGATTATTCCTCATAATTCTGATGCAGGGCACCAAGGCACTCTCCATAGATTTCAACATATACTTAATCCAGTTGGACTGGGAAAAAATAACCTAAAATTAATTTTTGACCTAGTCCTACCTATATCACCAAACACCCATGCAAATATTCCGTGTGCCTGGCATTAGCACTACTAGTGGATACCCAGTAACTAGTATGAATACTGTTCCATCCTACATTTTTAGCCCCTCATTTAATCTCTGTTCCATCTAGGATTTGAAGCCTAACAATCTGTTGGTGAGCACACAAGGTCTGCTTAAAATAGCAGATTTTGGACTTGCAAAATTCTTCGGATCTCCCAATAGAATTTACACGCATCAGGTTGTCACTCGATGGTATAGGTGAGCTGAAATAAATGTCACTTTTCAGCAAGGCTAAGACAAATTTATGAAGCGCTAATGGAATTGTGAGTGACTGTGTGCATGTGCTTAGATCACCTGAATTGCTGTTTGGTGCTACTATATATGGGACGGGAGTGGACATATGGGCAATAGGATGTATTTTGGCGGAATTGTTGTTGCGGATCCCATTCTTGCCTGGAGACAGTGATCTGGACCAGCTGACCAAAATCTTCAGGACTCTTGGTTCACCAACACCTGAGAATTGGCCTGTATGTCCCAATCTTTTCTTGGCTGCTTGGGAGTCCTTTAAGAAATGGATATGCTATTGATTTTTATGATGAAAAGAAGGAAATGCAAGACTTGAGAAATATCATGAACACATGTGCATGAGACCTGTCCATGTTATCCCAAATACCTTCATGGTTATAAATTCTAATATTTCCCATAAATATACATTCCACTCATGTTCTCAAGGATATCAACATTACCAGACAGATAAGTAGGGTTCATTTTTGTCTGACACTTCAGGACTAAAAATAGGTAAGCCTACTCCATGAAAAGAAAAGCTGCTCTTTTGTATTATATTTGAAGGACCATGACATCCAATAATAGATAGAAATTTCTTTCTGGAAAAGAGCCTATCCAACTAGTAATGGTTAGTCTCTTTCAGTTTGGTCACCTTTTCTCTGGAGATGGAAGAGGCAAATGCCTGCCCTGTTAAGAGTCTTTACATCTGTCAAGTGAAGATCATTGAATTAATTGTGGTAATAAGATGATGCTGATGATGATTCTATGGCTTGCAGAATGTGAAGTTATTGCCAGACTATGTGAAATTTCACCCGGAACAAAGGATTCCATTTCGAGAGATATTCACTGCTGCATCAGAAGATCTTCTTCAGCTTCTTGAAAGCCTTTTGCCTCTGGACCCATCAAAGCGTTGCACTGCATCCCAAGCCCTTCAGATGCCTTACTTCAGGTTTCTCTTTGTCTCCTTCCATGATATAAATGCCCAGATGGCTTTTCCTTTGGTCAATAAATTTCTCTGTCTTATTCTCAGCAACAGACCTGGTCCAACACCTGGGCCAGATCTCCCTTTACCTGGCTTCCTGCGAACCAAGAAGCCTGAAGCTGAGCCTGGGAATCGTGTGAAGAAATTCAGATCACAGATTTTCAGGGCTGCCAAAGAATCTGGAGGTTTGTCCTCTCATTTCTTTCCCCTAGATTGCAGTACATTAGGCAGTAGGCAGAAGTTGACTGCATCATGTTTTGCAAAAGAATTTATGTTAAACAAAGTTGAGATCATATCATGATGGAAGAAAACCATGCAAGAACATTTTTCTCTTGGTTCCCAGGGATTATAGTTTTAAAACCTGGCAGTTCATGAAATATGTGAAAACCCAACCACAGAATAATTGAGTTCCTTTTTATCACACTGGAGAGCATGCAGTTTCACAGTATCCCCACAATATTACCCCACTACATGCAGCTGAAATGAAAGATCTCAGTGTGCATAGGCTACATTAGTTAGGAGTGATTTTGCTGCCTCTCAGATGGCTCCCAAAAGAACACCATGAACAAAACCATTATGAGGCAATAACATCACACCATGGAAACATCACACAGCAATAACACTGTGTGAAGCCCTCAAGGCTTGAAAGCCTGTGAGCAAAAAGTGAAGCTTTACTTCAGTTGGTTCTTTGCTCTGGTTGGGAGCAGACATGTTCCATCTCATTTTTTCAGTCATGTGGATTTCATGCAAGTGAAATTTAATTTAAGGTTAGTTATTTGATATAGTTTGGGCTTCTGTTACCTGTAAGCAATGTGTAAGCTTAGGTCTACTCGGGTAGGAGCTTACCTGGGGTAGCAATAGTGTGGTTATTGCTAGTTGAGAACTTAACCCAATCCACCTCCACAACACTGTATTAATTAAATGCATTTTATATATATATATATATATTTTTTTTTTATGTCACTCACTGTGTGTGTCAGGCAACAGAGGAAGCAAATCCTCACTGACCATGGATCGGCCTGAGTAGGTCTAAGCTTACACCTTGTTTACCGGTAATAGTAGCTCAAACTAAATTAAATTACTAACCTTAAATTAAGTTTCACTTGCATGAAATCCACATCACTGAAAAAAGGAGACGAAACACATCTGCTCCCAACAAGAACCAACTGAAGTAAAACTTCACTTTTGCTCACAGGCTTTCAAGCCTAGAGGGCCCCAGGTGATGTTATTGCTGTGCAATGTTTCCACTGTGGGATGTTATCACCTTGTGATGTTTTTCCCACTGTTTTGGTCGGTATGTTCTTTCCACACACCTCTCAGATATCATGGGGTCCTAAGTTATTGATGTTAAGAGCAAACTTTCAGCATTTTATATTTTTTTGTTCTATCCTTCAATTCTACAATCTTCTGAGTATAATTGACTGTGTTTGAGGAGCTTCATGTAAGTATACATGGTAGGCCAAAAAAATCAAAGCTATCATTTTTGGTGAATCATCCACCTCTTTGTATACTGTTGATTTTGATTAAAATCGGTAGGCTTATAAGGTGACACAATTGGAGTTTGTATGCCCAATTTCAGTGATCTGACTTTAAAATTATAGGAGTTGTGATTTTTTTCTGATGGCCAACAGCAAAATGTGCTGTCAAAAATATCGATATGACCATGAGGCTGGGATGAAAGGGAGGTCTGAATTCATTGACCTTCCATCCCTGCATGATGCTACAAAGGAAGATTGGGAGGAACTGCCTCAAAGGTTTATTGACTGAGCCATTGATCTGTGGTGCCCCAGACTAGAGGCTTGTGTTTAATATAATGGAGGGCACATTAAGTACCTTTTCAGTTGAAATGTACATCCCTAAACCAAATTGTGTGCTTTCATGTTTGGCATTTGTGCATCTGTTTTTGTTCTGTTTGTTTGCTTGTTTGTTTTGTCAGTTACAAGAATTTTTAAGCTGAAAGAAAAAATGAGCACCTCCTTTTTTGGTGATGAAAAGTAAATTAAATGCCAATCTCACAGTTTTTGGAATTTTTATTGGAAACTTGGCACACAAACCCTAATTGAGTCACCCTATCTGTATACCAAATGTCATCAAAATAGACAGCATACAATCAGCTTGACAATTTATCAAAAATGATAGCTTTGTTTTTTTTGGCCCACCCTGAATAACTTCTTTTGCAGTATGCATGGAGAGTTTACAAATTGAATGACCTACTCCAAAACATTGAACCAGTGTATTTAGAAGGCAGCAAATGTACTGCAGCATTGAAGTACTCTAGAAATAAGATGTTTGAGACCTATTTGCACCACAGTTTGGCAAGACATTTGATGTCTTCAATTGGTATTTGAATCGCTACAGCTAAGAAATTCTGTATCATAAAATCACCAATGCCACTTATCTGAAGTAACTGAAAATGATTTTTGCTATTCACTTCTCTTGGGACCATTGAGACATATTGGTGTCATTGCCTTATTCTGAGCTTAAAATTGGATTTTTCTTCAATAATGTTCATTTTTACACATTGCAGGGGTTATGGATATTTCTAATCGCTGTGAAGCATTGCTGGATTATCATTAGGAACTCAAATGGATTGTGACAGTAAAATAAAAGCAAAATCTGAGATCACATGCAATTACCCTTCAACTCTTTTCCCTTAAATTTTCCAACAGCAGACTCTGTTATGCCAAACTCTGAACTTACTAGAATGGAGAGTAATCCCATTGTGGAAAAAGTTCTCTAGACCTTCATTAATCTGTGGCATATGATGTTTCTTGATGTGGATGAAATCTGGGCAGAGGCATTGTAAGTGAAGGGTACCAATGGATGATAGTTGCTGCTTTATTTCCTTGAGGTTTGCTGGTATGTCAAACCTCATGGAAAGAGAAGAGCACCTATGGAATAGCAAACTGATGTGGTGGCTCCTATTTTGAGAGGAGCTTGAGAAAGTGCTCCAATTACTGTGAAATTACTCTCCCTGGCATACCTGGTAAGGGTTATGTGCTGGGAAAAGAGAGCTCAAGCATTTATTCAAGAAGCCATCCAAGAGGAGTGGTGCAGCTTTCATGAAGGGTGCAACATCATGGACTGGCTCATGCTCAATTCCTCAATAGGTTTTGGAACATGCAGAAGAGGTTTACATGTGCTCTGTGAACCTCAAAAAAGTGTTTGACCATGAGCTTTGAGGAAAACTGTCAGGAGTTCTGCTCTGTGGGTCATTCAGTCCTTGTGCTGTGATTGTAGAAGTGGACAGAATGAGTTATGACTTTTTCTCTGTATGTGTAGGTCTCTGCAAAGGTTGCTTTCTCTCTCAGCCTTTCTGTTCCTTGTGTATGAAGACAGGATTTGTTGACACAGCCTGAGTCCATAGGGGGATCATGTGCCAGATGATTGACAGTCCCTTTGGTGAAACTTTTAAGGAAAAATAGGAAGCTCAATAATGTAATGTGTAAAGCAGAGAGAGCCATTTCAATGCTTTTTATTTGTTAGCTTTAGTTGCAGTGCATTGATTTGACTGGAAAGTGGATGGACTAGGGTTTCTGCATGGCTGCTTGTAATTACACTTCTCTGCTATTGAGAGTTTATACTTCATCCCCTCAAAAAAAAAGCTCTTCCATACTGTGAAAAGTACCTTGCTGAGAGGAAAGGATGGAAAGGATGGGCAGGAATAATACAATTCAAATAGAATGAAGTAGTTCAATGATATGTGAAGAGTGAAAAGATTAATGTAAACTAGAATATTGAGCATTTATTTGCAAAATTTATTGTAATTCAAGAATTTCATAGTCTCTTGGAATGAGAAGTATATGATTTCTCATCAAAAAGCCAGAACCGTTTCACCTCCTATCCATGAGCATGTGTATGCCCAGGATAGGGTACTGGTAATGGCCCTGGTAATGATTTGCATTTTGGATTACTACCTTGGGGCCTTAAGGCATCTATTATGCAATGCCTGTATAATCAGGGTAACTGATAGCGAGCTACATAGGAAAGCTAAAACTATAATAGTCTTGAACCTGTATTGACTCTGGTCCTGTCTCACCATGGTAATCTAAGTTTTGCTCACAGTCACAAAATGGCCCGTGTGCAAATAAGCAAATAACATTTTCTCAATATAAAAAACATTTTTCAGTGTTGGCTGTGATCACTAGAGCTTCAATTCAATATGCATCCTTATGTGATTGTGGTTTTGCAGGTTTTGGGAGAAACATCCCTGCCATTCAAATTTGGCATAGATGCCTATGAGAATTTGTGAATTCATAGCATCGAAATTCTGTCGTCCTCATTTCTTTGTTGAATTTTCAGTCGCACTAGTAGCGCCTACATCGATGTTGAGACGGATATCCTTAGAGGCCATCATCTTCAGGGTGTAGAGTTACGTGCAAGCGTTCTGTGATCATCCATGACTGGCAATACAAAACTGTCGAGAATTGTTTTAGAATTAATCTCTGTAGTTTGGGAGCCGGTTGGCGTAAATTCAGATGTTGGATCTGAAGTCGATTCTGAAATGTCTTGCACAGGGTGTTTCACAAAAACGTTTACCATTTCAGTTGGCTGTGAATCCTTTAATATTATGAATATTCACTTCAAACAAAAAACTAAATGACAGAAGAACTCCTAAATTTTCATCTTCTTACAGATAATCTACCATGGTTGTGCAGTTTACGGATGAACAGGGAATTTACATTGTTGAACGCTTTTTGGAAACCAAATCACCAAAAGCTTCCCAACGTTCATTTCAGAGAAGGTTTTCAGGCAAAAAACCACCATCAAAACCCATTATCACCAAATTAGTGAATAAATTTCATGACATCGGGACAATAAAGAACCAAAATCCTGAAAATAGTGGGAGAAAGCGAACAGCTAGAACAGAAATTGCTGTTGAAGATGTGAGAAGCGATGTGAGAATAATGAGGAGTCTGAAGAAATCAGTTCATCTTTCTGCAGGAAGACATTTATCTTCAACATCATTGTGGCGAATTCTGAAAAACGACCTGAAATTATTCCCATACAAACTCCAGTTGAAACAGATGTTGAGTGATAGAGATAAGCGGTTTTTTTTCTGGAAACCCTCTTTGAAATGAACGTTGGGTAGCTTTTGGTGATTTGGTTTCCAAAAAGCGTTCAACATTGTAAATTCACTGTTCATCCGTAAACTGCACAGCCATGGTAGATTATCTGTAAGAAAAAGAAAATTTAGTTGTTCTGTCGTTTAGTGTTTGTTTGAAGTGAATATTCGTAATATTAAAGGATTCACAGCCAACTGAAATGGTAAACGTGTGAATCACCATGTATATTGTGTTACCCTCAGACCTCTCACAGTTTGATCTGTGCGTTGTTCTCCCCTCTAATGAGGAGCTTTCGATCACATTTTTGCTAGAGCATACATGGAAGCCGAGCTTTGAAATGGCGTTCCTCCCCCCCCCCCTTTATTTTCAGTTGTCAATTAACGAAGATATCCCAGCATGTCACGAGAGTCGCCCCTCCCTCCCCTTCACCTCTCCTGCCCCCGAATATTTATTGCGTCGCAACCCAAGCACTCGCTTTGCTCATCAGGAATCAATAAACGGTCGGGGAGGAGGCTGTACGTTGCAGTGACAGTGACACACGACCTGCTACGTTGCATTAGCTTCACTAAAAACTGGCACTCATGTTTTAGTTGCGAAGGTTTTTCTTGATGAGCCACGATTAATGTTTGCGTATAAATTGGCACACGAATTTAGTGAACATCCTTGACATTGCAGCTGCGAAACTTCCCACAATGCCCTGAAAAGTACACGGTGACCATAAAAGATTCAGACTACTTTAATCTTTAATAAATCATGAACAAATGAACGTATATATATGTGGTTTGCAACGAACGAAAGCTCATTATTTCAAGTTTTATTACATGCATTTCAAAATTATTTTTCATCTTGTCGGAAGTGAAATGGCGACTCCACAAGAGAAAGCAAATGCGTGTTGTGGTTTGTGGAGTTGAAGTGAGTCACACAAGTGCAGCGCAAGTTCAGAACTGTTTACAAGGATCCTCCTGTCCGTGATTCAACATACCGATGGATGAAGTAATTTAAGGACACAGGAAGTGTGCTGAAAGAGAAGAGCTCGGGTGGCAACTGCATTTCGCTATTGGCATGGCGCAGTCTTTCTTGGCTGCTCTCGAAGGCTTCCCGTACGCTTATGTACAGGGTGGCCCAAAAAAGGGCACTCTTTTCAATGCGCATTTTAGGTGTGGTGCTTTCAAGGATATTTTTCCGGTTACATGTAATGGAAAGAAGAAAGACTCAGCTACAGACCGGTGTCTGACTTTTAATGTTCGCATTTACGTTAATGAATGGAATAAAGTTTGCAATAAAATATTCCTCCTGATATTATGAAATTAATATTACTGTTGCCTCCCTTCCAATGCCATCATTAATCTTGATGTGAGGTCAAACTGCTGAGGTATTGAGAACGCTGATGAAAGGTTAGGTGTGTCCGTTATGGCCTGGGATGACCGCGCTTCTTTCTCTTTTGAGAGGAGGGCTCTTATTGGCTGGAGGGCAGGTTAGGGGCCCCATCGCGCTTCGGATTTGTACATAAGCTCCCCGCTCATGTTCAACATCGGCATCCGATGCTAAAGGCCTACCGGAGATCTTCTCTCACGGGAAGAAGTATCCTTGCTGTAAACAGTTCTGAACTTGCGCTGCACCTGTGTGACTCACTTCAACCCCGCAAACCACAATACGCCCTTGCCTTCTCTTGTGTAGTCGCCATTTCACGTCCAACAAGCTGAAAAATAATAATAAAGTTGTATTTTAAAATTTGAAATTGTGGTAATAAAACTTGAAATATCATGCTTTCGTTTGCTGCAAGCCACATATATGTGCATTCATTTGGTTTTTTTTTCCATCTTTCTATCTCCTGAAAAGAACATCCTCATTTTTCGTATCGGTAGAAACCAACCTTGACCACCTAAGCTAGGAGGAGGAGAGGAAAGGCTCATTTTGAGAAATTTTTATGGAGGATTACAGCGAATGACAAACCCCAGGCCCGACCCCAGTGTGAAGCTTAATGACACTAGCGCTCGCTGATTCTTCAGCCCGTCCGCTTCAGTCTTTCTATTGCTGACACCAGATGTCTTAAAGGACCTCTCGTGTCCTTGAACTGAAATGCACGGTGGATGAGCTTCATATTAAGTATGTATGTAGGATTATTGAATTCATCAAACCTTAGTGAACCGCAGAACTTGATGTCAATTTTTTCCTTTCAGCTGGTTTGGCTGCAAGAAGCCTGCAGTTCTCTGAATGATCTCCGTCCTGTGATCCTAGTCTTTTGTTTCCTTATGGACACGTCTTGGCTATGTTGACGCAAGGAAGAATATATGATGGTCACTGAACTGAGTTTTATTTGCATATTCTCCCAGTTATCATATGGACATGCTATTGGCTACCTTGGTATAGTTTTCTGTGGTTTACAGATCCCTTGGATCCGGTGCATCCAAGGCGGATCTGATCTGTGTGCAGTGGGAGGGGGCTTGAGGGAACCGGCCTGGCAACTGTCATCTCACACGGTGCAGCAACGGTAAACGGTTACGAAGACGGGAAGTTTCTTAAAAAAGCGATCTAAGGAATTGAAATGATTTGGATACAAGGATGGAAAAGAGGGTAATGGTGTCATGTGTGATCTACGCCCAGTCGTGTTTATGGTACTGCTTACTGCATGGTGTCACGTGTGATCTTCCTCCCCGATTTCTCGTTTGTCGACCCTTTGTCTTGCCTTCCACCTTTTCAGTGTCGTAAGCCCTTTCACCTTTCACTGCGAGTATATATATAAACCTGTGTGTTTGAGGCGTGGTGTGGCTCAACAGTCCTGTCTCCATGGCGAACAAAGCGTCCCAAGATCAGCTGGATTTGGTGTAGCCAATTTACTAGCTTGGTTCCGGTACCACCAGGCATTCCAGATGTTGAATCGTGAGTTTGATGCTATGATTAGGACTGATGAGATTCAATACTTGCAAAAGCAGGGAATCTTGGTAGAGCTGAACACTGCCACTCAGTGTTCGCGATGCGGGAGTGACAGTAAATTCATCCCAAGAAAAGGAAGATAGGCGGTACTTTAGCTTCATGTGTCGCATTTAGGTGCACGCATATGGGTTGTCAAGCTTTTCAGTCTGTTAGGAAGTCCAACGCATTCTTCACTTACATGGATAGGCGTGAGCACGTACACAGCAATTTGTTGCAGCAATTCTCAAGCTTCCTTTTCTGCGGCGCAATGAGGTTTTGTATTTTTTAAGTCAATAATAAAATATTCTTGACTACCTTTCGACAACAACATTCACGCCTGCTTCTTTATAGATCACGTGGTTTAGCGTAGATCACACCTGACACGATTACCACGATATGGTATTGTGGCATGTGCTTGCCCTACTTGCTTTTCCGACCTCTCAGTGCGACAAAGCGGGGTCTGTTGCGCGTGCTAGCCAGTTTGCGATAACAGGACTATGATCAAAGACCTTACACTTGATGTCATTCTTATTTCGGGGAAGACACGTTCTTTGCTTACTGCTAATGGATTAGTATTCCTTATACTTGATTCATTTCATGCCTCTCGTCTGCCTCTCTTCTACGAAAAAAAATTTGATAAGTTCCAAGCAAAATAAGATGAATGGCGATTCTCTGGAAGAAAAATGACACCAAATTCTATGTGTTTGACCAGACATTAGACGCAACTCAGGTGCTTGCGTGTCGGGCCGACACACCTGTCATCCACCCACTTGCTTTGCTTTCCTGTGCCTGGCTCCGCGCCCGTCTTCCCGTGGTTCATCATGTCTAAGATCAGTCATTCTGGCGCGACTGCTCCCACTCCTTTCTCTGCTGTGCTTGCTTCCATGGCAGTGCTAGTTTGAATTCTTGAATTTTCTGGAATAGGTGTTCGATGTTTTGAAATAAAGAGACCCACATTTTTGCGATTGAACTCTCATAATTCTTGGCTCTCAGAGACAGCCTCTTTCGAACTCGGTGCCCTACTCTCCAATGTAGCAGAAAGTGCATGGAATGCATCACAAGTACTTGGCCTAGTACTCATGTGCTTGTCGATGGGCAGCGAAATTATTTTTTTTTATCGCTTTCTATATCTTGATTAATCAGCTTCCTTGTACTTCCTATTTATTATCAGGAGGCCAAAAAATGAAGTTGGATGTCCATAGAGTTTTAGCTGGACAGATTGATTTTTTGGACATAACAGAGAAGCGAGAACCAGTGATTGTCTCCGGCCTGGACTTAGGACCATGCGTGAAGACTTGGACCCCCGAGTACTTGTCCATGCATGATTCCGGCCTCCCCGTGGTTGCTCACGTCTCTCAAGGTCCAGACTTGGACTTCCTCTCCAAGAATTTCACCTACAACACCATGCCGTTCTCAGAAGTTGTAACTCAGGCCGCGACATCCACATCCTCTTTCTATTACCTCCGATCCTTGGCATCAGAAGAGAAGACCAAGAGCCCTGCTGAGTTTTCCCGCGATTTCCCCACTTTGGCCAGTGATTTTCACTTGCCAGACTTCCTTCCTCGAGATCGTATCTTTTCCAGCGTGTTGCGAATTGCATCGGCAAATCTATCCCTCTGGACGCACTACGACGTGATGGACAACGTGCTGATCCAGGTGAGAGGAGAGAAGACGGTGACCTTGTTCTCACCATCGGATGCCCTGAACCTCTACCTCCAAGGAGACAAATCCCTCGTATCGAGCGTGGAGGAACCCGATCTGGGGAAATTTCCAGCGCTTGCGAAAGCCACGAGATTCGAAGCCGTTCTGAGACCAGGGGATGGATTGTTTATTCCTGCGCTTTGGTTTCATAGCGTAAGGTCTGCCTCCTTTACAGTCTCCATCAATGTCTTTTGGCGACATTTGCAAGAATCCCTCTACGACAAGAAAGATGTTTACGGCAACAAGGACCTCTTACCTGCCGTACAGGTAGATGACAGCAAACTATCGTTTCGAGTAAAGTTTGGTTCTTGATGTGTCTATTCTGCTTGTTTTTCTAGGCAATGCATGGTGTAGAGAAGGCACTGAGACATCTGAAATCCCTTCCCAAGGATTACCAGGACTTCTACGCAAGACGCCTCATCCGTGTCATAGAGACTAATTTTCTTCAGTCTCCACTCTATGGCGAAACTAATAAATAGATTTCCGTTTGAATGAAAATTGGACTCATAATTGGGGAAAATGGAAAGAAGACGTGAATCAGAGCACGGTCTCGTACTCGGCCACCTCTTTTGTCCCCTTCCTGGGCCACCAAAGACAATGACATTTTTTAAATTATAGACTATTTCAGAGAGAGTGGTTCTACCGATTGGAAAAAATATTTCTCACCGTGGACGGGGATCTCGGGACCAGAGGAACGAGGACACGTGATTCTGCACTGAGTCTTCGTTCTCCGTGTCTGTCTCCCATTCGCTTCCGCTCCTGTCGATACATCCCAAGCCCCGAATCGCAATCACCGGGCCGATTCAAACAAACAGCGACGGGATGAGTTTCATGGATACTCACGTGCAGCAGCTGGACTTGGCTCTCCTGAAAGCGAGAACGAGGGGGGGAGGGGGAGGTGGATCAGGTATCGTTTGAAAGGATTCTCTCATAGAATGGATGGAGCCGGTGCTCACCTGGTGTTGCGGCGTCTGCGTCTGCCGAGAGGAGGAGGGGAATCAGGTCGAATCCCACGAAATCGCATCTCGTCCTCCAATTGTTTCACCCTTGCTTTCGTCAGTGCCAATTCCTTCTCGGTCGACAGGAGTCTCTGTTTACACCACCCACTCTGACACTCTCTGCCGCTCTTCTCGACGGTCATTACCTCCTCCACTACGTCCTCCATCCGAAGGCTCTGACCCACGCTCTAGGAACCCGCGGGAGGGTAGGATTGACAGGGAGATTAAGAAATTATCTATTTCTAACATTCACTGTGCCCTGACGCAAATGTTTGCTGTCTAATGCGTATTTATACAAAACCAATATGAACCTCAAGGCACAATTGGCGAGTACTCGCATACGAGTGGTTGAATGTAGTATTACATTTAGCAAGTACTCGCTAGCGAGGGCTTACCATTTACTCGCTTCAAACTGCCAGCCATCTATTTCATGAATGGGGAATTTGCTTTTTTGAGCACCTATGTACAGATGTCGATAAATATGAAATATGCAGGAGTGATGGCTGCCCACAGAAAGTAGTTCTTATCAGTTGTGGTGGATCTAGTCGACATTGTGATGGCACGCCAACTGTCAAATGGTGCTATAGAGGCCTTGATAAATGGTTATAGAGAGAGTCCCTTACAAATGTCCAATTGAAGGAATATGAGGAAAGATCTTTTCAAGAGCCAGGGCATCGTCCAAACCCCTCTATTACACCACCTCCTCTTTCTGATAATACCGTACTCCACTGAGGGCAGCAGCAACCCCGGAGTTGAACGGCGACAGGTATGGACGCATCCTGAACTCATAGAATGCATTCAGTTTTGGAGGCCTACAAATAAGGGCGATTTGTTGGCGCTCGAGGGAGTACAGAGGAGGGCCACAAGAATGATTAAGGAGGTTAGGGGACTATCATACGAGAAGCGTTTAGAAGTGTTGAGACTGTACTCGCTCGAACGAAGGTTAAGGAGGGGCGATCTCATCCAGGCTTTCAAGATAATTAAAGGAATAGATAATGTCGAGTGTGGTAGGTTTTTCCAGTTTGATGACAGCAAGAGAACGAGAGGTAACCGACTTAAGTTGCGCAAACCGCAGGTGCGGCTCAGGTCGAGACAGGAATTCTTTACTTGCAGAGTGGTGAACGCGTGGAATGCGTTAGATGACGAAGTAGTGGCTGCCCCTTCTGTGACTATCTTTAAGAAGAAACTAGATGCTTTCATGGACAGGCAAAAAGGTGGGGGGCAATTTTGACGTAGGTACTAGACAGTAAGCAACTAGGATAGTAAAAAAAATAAATAATAAAAATAATAATAAAAAAATACAAAAATACAAAAATATTTAGCTTTAAGAGGGTTAGGCCTACCCTAAAATTAAGGAACGCTCGACCTCGACACGTGATATCGAAATGGGCGAAATCGCCTCTTGATATCATTAACTCTCCTGATAGAAGATGCCACGCGCTGACCTCTTCAGCTCCTGTCATGGGAGGAGTGGGGCTCCATCTTGGCTTGAGGTTGCCTTTTGATCGGTTCTTGTTAGCGAGTACTCGCCTCAAATTTGAAATATTCCAAAGTCGTAGCGAGTGGGGTGTTATAGTAAGTGAGTGGCCCTAGCGAGTGCTAACGATTACTCGCTGGCGAGCACTCAGTAGCAAGTACTCGTTGCACATGAACGTATGGGGCGCACCCTTCAGTCCCCACCCCCTCTTGTCCCCAGTCCCCCACCCGTAGATTCTGCCAATGCTTACAACTTGAATAGAAATATCATGGGTTGTTGTTATTGTACCTTTGTACAACAGGGAACATTTTGTCGCATGATCTTATAGTCTGAACGCCGTTGAATCGTATACCTTCTAGCTTGTTCGAGTATAACTATCGATTTTTTAAATGTAATGTCTTGCGTGAAACGGTTTTTCGCTTTGGGGACTTTTCGCTGCGTTCCCAATCATACAGTGTTTCGCCAATGAATTCGTACCACTTTTATCATGGGGCCCATGCTATTCTATGGAGCAGGGCCGGATTAAGAAGTTGCGAGGCTCGGGGCAAGTGAATTCCTAGGCCCCCCCCCCCCCCGCTACTTTACGCAAATATAATACTTTTTTAACTTAACGTTTTTAATTTCCTTCGGGGCCTCCCTGGAAGAGTGGGGCCCGGGGCAACTGACCCCTTTGCCCCCCCCCACCCCTTAATCCGGCCCTGCCATGGAGGAATCCTCTCAACCTGGATAGCGACGCTTTCGTCGCGGCGCCGGGGCGACATCCAACGTATGTAGAGTGAATTGCAGTAGATTGGCGGACGTTGAGGATAGGAACATTAGAGCCAGCCAATAATAAATTATAATGGAGAAATTTATTTGCTCCGTTTGGGTTGAAATGATGAATTGGATATGAAATGATGAATAGGTTTCGTTTCTTTGATTCCGAAGCTCATGAAACCAGTGTATGACTGTCCAGCCTGGTGCTTGGAAACGATCCTGTGCTCAATGACTCGTCCATCCTTTCATACGGGCCGCGCGATGTCATCCTCGCTGTACGACAGCTCCCAAGCGACTAACCGATTGATGCGATGTGGCTGTCTGAAACGGGAGAGATCTATCCTCCAGAATGGAAACAATAGTTGGACCTCCTCTGCCGCCGCATTGGATCATCCGTAGAGTTACCTTGCACTGTGCTAAAGATGGAACGAATTCATTTGCAAAACACTGTATTAAAGGTTGTATAGTTGTGTTTACTGTCACTCTCGAAAATAATTTTTTTTGTTTCTCGCACCCACAACCTTACTTGTTCGGGGAAGTGTTCCGTTCTTCTCAAGAAAGAGAGAGAGAAATGAATCTCCTTTCCAGGAGATTCATTTGTGCAAATTTCTACCCATCTCAATTTGGCATATGTACATCATCAATGATTCGGGCGTTACCTTTTGGGCGTGCCCTGAAAACATGGCAGCCCCATTCGGAAAGTTCCACGTTACTTGAAGCAAGAATTAAATTTGTACATGTAGAGAAGGTCTGGATACTGGTTGTTTGCCTTCATGCTTCGTTGCTTCTTTTGCGAGTCCCTTTCGGGAGGGAAAGAATTGAAAGTAAACACGCCTTTAGCACTTCCCTATGGCAACTTCATTATATTTTTAATATTATTTATGCACTTCCTTTCACCCTTGGAACGAAGCACTTCGTGTCTCATCAATACAATGCAGTTTCCTTTCTTTTCTTTTTCACTTTTCGCATCTACGTATGCGTTGATTACCCTCCCTCCCCCCCTCCCTCCCTCACTTCCCAGGCATCCCAGACGACTGCCTGCCTAACTCGCACATGCATACATCCATCTAATATATATAGACGATCGTGAACGAGTGACTGACTGACGTTAATATTAACCATGTTCTAGATATGCTATAAAAATAAACCTTGGTACACGAATAGCTGTTAAGCGTGCTGACTAGAAAAAATCAGACTTTGGAGGTACATACCCTGAAGACACATTTTTTTCAAGGGACTTTTCAAATAAATTTTTTCATTCCAGCGAAACGAGCAGATACAGAAAGCTGAAATTTGTTGCATAGGTTGCTTTGCGCTTGCTAATTTCAACCAAATCCTACTTTTAGGATAATTCACCTCAGCGCATAGCTGTCTCTCTTTTTTTTTGGAGGGGAGGACATTTTTCAAGCAATTCTTTCGCTCCAACGAATCGGGCAGATATAGAAAGGTGAAACTTATCGCACAAATAGCTGGTGGGGTGTCCAGTTCAGGAATAAACCAATATATGGAATAGATACCCTGGGGGTAAAGGTTTTCTGGGTTGACTTTTTTCATAATTTTTATTTTACTGCAGCAGAATTTCCACGCGATAGAGTTGAAATTTGGTACACAAGTGGGTTACTAATTTCAGGAAAAATCCTAATTTCGGGTTAAATTTCCTGGGGGAGTTGCAATTTTTTTAATGGCACTTTTTCCAAAACTTTTTCGCTTCAGGGAAACGGGAAAATATATGTGAAAATTGGCAAAGAAAATCTTGTGCTTACTTGAGGAGAAATTCCTACCTCAGAAGTACATACCCGAGGCACATCCTCTTGGGTAGACGTTTTAGCTTACATATCTTCGCTCGAGCGAATCGACTGCTGTGAAAAACTGACACTTGACTGACAAGTTGCTATTTGGGTTTCGATTTCATGAAAAACCTCACTTTTGTGTGCATTCGTGAAAACACATTTTTGGTGGCCCATGCTCTCGAATTATTTTTGCTTCAGCAGAACGGGCTAATATGATGAAAAGTTGAATTTCAGACTGAGTAGTTCTTCGGGTGCTCATTTTAGGAAAAATCGCACTTTTGAAGTACATTTCCTGGGTGCACATTTCTTTGGGGGGAAGCTTTCCTGATATTACAGGTATTTCGCTCCTGCGAAACGGGCAGATAAAGAAAGTGAGATTTGGCAGAGAAGTCTTGGAGTGCTCAAATTAGAGAAATATCATACTTTAGGGGTACATCCTCTAGGACCATATTCTTTCGAGTTGCTTTAAGGTTTTTAACCTCAAGTAGGTAAAGACGTCACATAACCGGAAGTAGCTTGACGCCAGTGAAAAATGCCTAAAACCCATGGAGTTTTACTACATTAGAAGGTGCGAGCGTCAAAGGCGCATGTTTTAGATGTATTTTCTTAAATTTTCTTATATCGTTGAGCGCCGAAGGTGCGACCATTGCGAGTTCGTTTTCCCTTCGGGTAAACAAACTCGTTAGTAGATAAAGACATACCGTACTGAGGAGGTTGCAGCAAGGACGAATGGAGCTCTTGCTTAAGGGTCCCCGGATGTATTTGAAGTAAAGATGCTCGCAGGCAAGGAAGAGCATGGCCAAGACCATGCCCATGGCCAAGAGCAAAAAAGCGCTCAAGAATTGGTTGATGGTGAGAGGCTTGGAAGCGGATGTCCCCGTCTTCTTCGGCTTGCATGCCCCCGTGAACCAGAATTCCCTCATCCTCTCCAGGTCACCTGGGGCGAGAACGCAGGGTCGTCCGACTCGTGTGGATAATACGGAGAGAGAAACTCCGGACCCATACCGTTTTCTCGATACTCCATGAGCTTGTGGTTGAACAAGTGGAGGTATTTGGAGTTTTTGGGGAAGCCGACTCCATATCCAGTCATGGCGTACCACGTTCCAACCGTGAGGAGCTTGCATCCGTCGTCCTGCCCCACCAGATACTCCAACACCGTGGCGTCGTAGATGAAAGCATCCAGCTCCCTACAGGTGCATGGGAAGACATCATCACCTCATCGGTCGTCTTTCTTCGTCGCCACGTAGACACGCAAGTGTCCTACTGTTGTTTCACGGATCGAACTCCTTCGTGGACGGAAGGGCGGGAGAATTGACTCATGTAGGCATGCATGCGAGGGAAATTCTGCTTCATCACCGTGTCCGTGTTCCCGTGAGGAATCGTCCCGAATCGAAACGGCGGATTCGTGCTTCGGGGGTTCCTCAGCTGCACATTCATTCACATAAGAAGAGCACGGAGGCACCAAAAATGATGAGAAACAACTTGGGCAAACCCAGTCCTGTTAACCTATTGGGGGTCTCCTCACGTTAGTACCCAGAGGTTTCATTTCGTCATTTCACAGAATATTTTGTATCATGAACTGCATATCGATCGTTACAATTTTTATGTATATGAGAATTACGAAAGACTCCAAATTGATGGGGTAAAAACAGACGGAGGATGCAAGAGAAACATTCACCTGTGGGATGGAGAAGTAAATGCGGCCCCCCCCCCCCGTCACGTACCACAGAGGGCAAGTGGATGCTCATTATGGAAAGATTAAAAACAAAAAAACAATCCTTGCGTCGAAAAACTAAAGCGGAAACACAAAAAATGGGTAGACGAAATAGAGGTAAGTGTGGCTAAAGTCTACGGCGGGGGTCTCAAACTCGTGGCCCGCGGGCCGCATGCGGCCCGCAAACGCTCTCAATGCGGCCCGCGACCCACCTTCGTACACAGAGAGAAACATTTCAGGCCCAATATATACAATCAGGGAAAACCTTCACTTTTTTCACTTTGGCCCGCAGAGAGGTCCGATCTTGACGATGCGACCCCCACACCGAAACGAGTTTGAGACCCCTGGTCTACGGCATAAATCCCGAGCGGTGGTTCTGAATGACTGCTGTAGTCTATACGAGTATATTTCTTTCTTTTAATTCATTAGTTTTTTTTTTGCTACTGACCAGCAGAAGTCTCCGTCAACTCGCGCTTCAGGTTATCATATTCGAAAGTGTCGAGTGCGAGTGGACCGCATGCTGCATTACCTCGAAGATTTTCTCGTCACACACACCGAGTCGGCAGCTCACAACCCTCACAGCCCTTAACAACAATAAACGGTATGGGATAAGCAAGGGAAAAGGGACGGTGGAACGGAAGAAGAGGGATGGGCATAACTGGAACGAAGGAAACCGTTACGATATCCGAGTAAACTGTTAGCGGTTCTTCCAGCCTATCGTTAGTCCGTCGGCGGAAACATTCCCATCGTCAGACGCCCCGTTTTAGAACCGAGCACGCAAACACGAAGTAATTGTGGAAGAAAGTAAGAGCTCGGGATTTATGGAATGAACTCGAGGAGGCACTCACCCGAGGATCCTCGATCCCTGTCAGGTCGGGGAATTCTTCTCGCGTGATCATGAACGCAGCCAAGTTGGCTGTGTAGATGGCCAGAAAGACGACGGCAAACATGGCCCACACCGATGCCAGGAACCTATCGAGTGCGGAGGTCAAGGTTGAGGTCGACCAAAGTTAGTAATGGCCGTATCACGCGTCAGATTCGCGGGAGACTTTTTTCCGGTTAACCACCGACTCGGAGAGATTTACTCGCAAGTCAGTCGTCGCCGTATAGAGACGCCTTCCCTCACTCCCAGATAGAACGTACTAAATTCACCCTCCCCCCGGGGTTTGCGATCGACTCCACGTTCATCCTCCGGACCCAAAGCGAAGAAAAATGAAACTCTACTGCTGGTATGGTAAAGCTGCACTTAATTGAATCCTTTGGAACAGTGGTTATTGACATTTATGTCACGACGGACCGGTATACAGTAATTTTCCCGCTAGTGTTGCGGACTGGCAGGTTTTCCCTTACAGACCGGTGGGTCTGCATCTCCGATCACAAGCTTCCTCCTCTCTACATGCATATCACCAAATCATCTGTTCATATTCATTTGCACCCCTGTCTCCTCTCCCTAATATTGGTGTTTCAAGTAATTGTCCTGTTATGGCGGGCTGTGTGGCGGGAAACGATTGCAGGCCGGGGATGAAGAATTCGATTATTACAATTTACTCCAAGAAAAAAGTAATTTCATTGATTAAATCTTTCAATTAACCGGTCGTCTCGCAGGAGGTAGAACTGAAGAACCGGAGGTAGAGAAACATTGCTCTTGAGTCCGACCGTTTCTCTTGGATCCTTTCTCTAGGATATTCATCATTTTTTCACTGTGATTTGAAAGGCTACTCCCTGACGCAAGCTCACCGATGCCTCATTTGCCGTAATGCAAATGAAAATTATTTCCAATTGAAATTATTCCTCTAGCCCGAACTGTGTTGCTGATATTACTTTCAGGTATTTTCTGCATTAGATTTGGGGGGTTCTCTTTAGCTGGTATGGCTGTATTATGGATGGATATGGTATGGATTAGATAAGTACTGTATTTTTAGTGCACGATAAATGCTTGAAACCCTGAAGAGGCTTATTCCCCTGGCAAGGCAAGTCCATTGGCGACTATCTGTCGAAATTGAACATTTAGGTTAGTCATTGTTTCCGATAATTACTTTTCAGTATTATCAGTACCAATGAATGCTTGAGACCTCCAAAAGACACAATACTTTACTGGGACGAGTTCATCTGATGCTCTGTGTCTTATTTGTTGAAATCAGTGCATTAATATTTGCTCAAGGGTGAATTGTATGGTCGGAGGGGAGGAGTCGGAGTATATCCCCACCCACTCACTTTCAGAATCAGGTGCAAATTCCCACCCACTCACTTTCAGAATCAGAAGCGGATCCCCACCCATTCACTTTCCCATCTTTGAAAGTACTGACCGTAACGGATGAAGCAGACATTTTGAAGGCCCTTCAGTGCCCTCTGGGCACTTGGCCCCATGTGCCCGTACGTCGATCCGGCAGAGACGCAGGTAAGTCGGACTCGATTGCAAATGAGAGACGTCTTAACAGTCATAGTTTCGTCTTGGGTCTCGTCGATGCTTCGGACGGTCGGTCCGGAATCGGGAAAAAGTTGGGGAAACGGACGCGCGATACGGCCTTCGGAAGAGACGAGGGAAATGAAATTGGATGGACCTGGAAGTGAGACCTCTGGGGCAGTCCACGTTGACGGCGGCTTGAAAGAGGACGGCCCACACGAGCCAATACACCCTCAACAGGGAAAACTGCTGTCCGACCGGTGGCGACGTCTGCAAATAAACCCGCACTTTACCGTATACGAGGCACCGTTAATATGTTTTTCAATCAAAAAAATAATAAAGGGGAGAGGGGAGTTCAGTCATTTGTTCGAGTCGTCGGATAGCAAAGGAGTGATACACTCGTTTCCCCCCAGTAATTGCATGGTAGAGTACTAGAAAATGAAGCACTACGACACGACGCCTATTTTCCTAGAGTCGTCTCCAAAAGGAAGGAAGGCAATAAACGGAGGGAATGGGGGAACAAAAAGAGAAGTTAACGAAATAGGGGAACGTACTTTTCTGTCGTATCCGGCAGGGGAGAGCCATTCGAAGATGAAGATGGCCACGGCCACGACCTGAATTGCGATCAGGGCCACCAGAGTCCACGATAGGGTGTCGAACGGCTCTAAACAGAGACATCGTGGAGTCTTTTGGACTCGTTTCACCCATGCAGGTACGGATATGTTAAAGTCAATCGATGTATTTTAAAGCGTAATTTATAAATATGATGCATTTTGTGTTTAAGAGGTAAAATTCTCCATTTGTAATTAATCCTACTCTGGAAAGAATGGAAATAGAAACCGAGGAAGGCGGTGGGAGAGATGATTCCCGTCCTCTTGGCGACGACGATGGCGATCCCGGTGTCGAGGAAAGGAACGGAGAAATCGATGGCCTTCGCCCGTTCCGAATTGATCTTCAAGGACGTGATGACTACGTCCGCTTCGTCGTTCACCAGGGCTGCCACCAACCCGTTCCATTTCCCTGCGACGGGGGCACCCCACACCCCATCCTTCACGCGGAACAGGTCGTAAGTGAAACCCAAGTCCGCGGCGAACTTCTCCAGCAGATCGATGCAGAACCCCGAACAGCAGTAATGAATCGTGGTGTCGTTGCGGGAGGATGGGGAGAGATGTGCGGGAGCCCGACAGAGGACGCCTCGATTCGCGCTGCATTTCTCCGTCTTCGGGTCGGGTTCCCCCATGTTCAAGTAAGGAGGTTCCTCCATGAAGGTGATCCGAAGGTGGAATTTCTCGGGAACACCCTCGGGTGGGACGTGGGAATTCCCCGGCCAAACGATGTCCTTTATATCGAGGGCATCCTCCCCCTTCCACGACCGCCACACTCCAATCTGTCGGATTTTCACACCTCCAAATGATCGAGTAGAGAAAACCCATAAGGAGACGGTGGGAATGAAGATGGAAGCGACCTCTTCCCAGGTGAGAGATCCGGTCAGGTCAGGTCTTAGGTTCATGATGCGAAGCTCGGTGGCCTTCATTTTCCCTTCCGCGTCGAATTCTAGGTTTGGCATTCCTTCCATCTGGGCCAGGGATGCGTTCCTCAAGTGCCTACAATCGATGATACCCACAACCGTACACGGTCGAGAAGGACTCTCGAGAATACCATTTCGCGTGCGATACCGTATGGAACTCTGGAACATGAGAAAGAAAAAAAGAAGCGCAGAAACCCGTTTGTTACCTGTAGAAGTGGGTTCCATACGGCCAGGAGATGTGATCTTGAGCCTCGCAGCTGAGATGAGGAACGACCCACGAAGGATCGGTGCTGCCGGCCAAGAGATCCAAACCCTTCGCGAACACTTGAAGGCTCTGAACGATGGCTCGACCGAGACTCGCATCCGTGGTGTCGAAGTGGATGGCGATCATACCTGGGACGAGCCCAGTGATTGCCCCCAGAGTGTTCCCCACCACGCTCTGAGTCACGATCCACAAGTAGGACCTCCCCGTCAGACCCAACCCGGACGCCGCTTCTAAGATTCTCCCCGCTTCCCGTCGGGTGCAATATAGCAGGAGTATCCGAGTCTCGACGGGCACCATGATCAGATCCTTCTCCACGTCCTCACCCACTCGAATCTCCCCGAGGATCTTCATCCTAGGTTGCACGCACGAATCGTGCCACCATTCCCATCGTACGACATCGTTCAAATAAAAATGCTTAACCTCCTTCCGCACGGAAAGAAAGGCCTTCAAGGCACAAACTGGCAATTAAGCTTTACTTTGTAAATCTGTACGTTTTACTACTTTCTTACTCTTGCTCGTATAAAGAACTTACTTTATATGAATCTTATTATTAGTATTACTAGAAATTAAACTCTGCATTGGTACGTTTTAGATGCAGATCGGATAAAGAACCTATGATTCCCCCCCCCCTTCCTTAGATGACGTAAAATTCAATCATGCAGATGAGAGTTGAAAAGTGAACGTGAGTGCCTTTTTTCTTAGAATTCCATATTTATCACGAAAACAATTTAATATCTTAACAAAGGACGAGGTCGTTTCGGGAATCTCAGGAGCAATCAATCAAAAGCTTAATCAATAGGCGCTTTCCCGCCTATTTCCTTTCTTCCACCCACCCCGCCTCGAAAATTAGCCTTCCTCGCATTCCTCCTTGAGAGCATTAGGTGGATTGAAATTGAGTATGGTTCATGCACTCTGAACACAGAAACTCTCTTACACGCAAGAAGTTCCTTCTTGCAAGATATATGAGGAAAGCAGGATCTCATTTCTAGAACGTATGCTTTTTTTCCCTCCCACAAAGTAACCATACTTTTAAAAGAAAATACCCTGATGATACCTGATGATACCGGGGGAAAGATTTAGGGCTCTTGAGCGAAACACGTGCTCATTCCGTTGCTGGCAATGCGCCATTTCAAGGTGGAAAATGCATTAGCTGTTGGGTATTTACGGCTTTTCACGTGGTCTGCCGTTTTCATGTCCACAGATGCCGGATATTATACTGGAGCCATGCCGGATTAGTGAGTGATGCTGCTTTCAGATCAGTGCTTCCATCTCCCTTCTCGATACGCTGGCGTGCCGAATTCGTGAAATGAGTTGAGACAGAAACTGTAGTTAATGGCTTCCGATCGATTTGGCTCGTCATGGACGTACATGGACATTTCCGACTGCTGACGTCCAACTTTCCTTTGAACTTCGGGTGCAGTGAGACAGTCTGCTCACGGACGTCGAGTCGAGACGGTCCAAAAAAAACTCCATATTAACCAATCATACGCCTTTTGACCCATAACGCATCCGGTCCGAGGAGAAAATTATCGGTCCCACGACTTATTCCCCTTGCGAGTTTCGGGGACTTCTCCTATACTAAACTGCATCTAGCTCACCTAGCAAATATAATGATCACGAATGCACTATCTTCTATCTCTTTTATGTTCGTGGAAACTGCTTGGATACAAATTGGCAATGCAGATTAGGATGACCGAGCAGCTTTCTAGTTTCAGCAAAGGAACCTCAAGACATGCCAACACTTGCCAGCAGTCGCCGGTTCGTGCGCGATGCAAGCGGTGAGATCGGCCTCCGTGCTATCGTGTACTTCTGTATTGCGTGCGTTATGTGATTCCCTTATCCATCGCCTATGATCCAGGAAAGGCCAAAGTACGTGTTTATTTTACAGCCCAATCCCAGTCGGGGCAGCTCTTTAAAATTGCACTACTGAAGATGGAACAACTCTCCGATGCCCCATGAGGATTTCCAGCCGTTCACAACTACGATCTATGGCATAGATTCTATGCCATATCCCTCCATCAGCACATGCCAATGCTTTCACAAGTTCATCATGAATTCATCAGATAAGAACCTTCTAAAAGGCTCTTCACATTCTGTAAAATTCTAGATGGCCTGGTGACATACAAGGTGAAGTCGAAGAAAAAAGGCTACCTTTAATTCTTTATCTTTTCCTTTCGGAACACTATTTGCGTCTACTATTTGCGTCCAGAGAAATTTGTTGGGATTTCGATAGATTTTTTTAACACTGACTACAGAAGTTCATGAAATTAAATATACTTTTTTTTATACAATATCTATACTGTGACACAAAAGAAGTTCATACAACCCTATAGAAATTCTACAGAATTTCTTTATAGCGTCTTCGTAGAATTCTATAGAAATTTGGTAAGATTCTCGATAGGATTTTGATGGAATCTCCATAGAATTTGCATACAGTGATTTAATAAAGTTCTATACGACCCTACATAATTTTTTCTTTAAAGAGTCTATAGAACATTTTTGCCTGGGATTTCTTGAGGATATAGAAGATATATACTCATCGCATTGCCCAAAAATGGGTGGGGATGAAGAAAGGTGGAGTATTCGAATAAGATTGCATATTACTACTTCGTTCTCACGGATCGCAGATACTTGAGAAATGGATGGGACCACTGACTTGGGGTAGGTGATGAGGACTCTCTCCCGGATGGCCTGGATGAAATCCGCATGTCCCGCGATGTGGGTCGTGATCACCGAGAATCGATCCCAATTGTATCGGTGGAGGACGTCGAGCATGGCCCTGGTTTGATGCTCCATGGTCGGTGCCAACTGGAGAAGCAGGTTCGACCGAACCACCCTCTGAAACTCGATAGCGCATTCGAAATTAGTTGAAAGGATTGTGTTTCGCTTGTCTTTGCGTCCTGAACTCCACAAATGAAAGATCGGTTTCGAAAGATCGATACAGTCGACATAAGTATGCGGATGGCGTGTGAGGAGCGGTAGTCGTACATATGAAGGCTGAACGTAGAGAGAGGAATATGAAAGGAGAGCATTCAAAATCCCATTTCCGGCTTCGGCGTTCTAATTCTCCAAGAATTGGAGGCGGGGAAAAAAATTCTTCTCGAGACGAGGAGAGGCGAGAGGAGTTGGAGGAAACTTAAACTTCGATCTCCGGATTCTAGGCTTCGCGGGGTCGAAAGACGATCCGAACGAACCGGCCCTTGCCGACGTACCAAGGTTCCCAGCCGTTTTCGAGAAACCAGAGACCATCCCACTGTGTTTCACCTCCGATGAAAAAATCTTCCGTGAAACCCGAGGATAATTACAGGCCGCGAGAAGACGAGATCTTAAGAGAGAGAAAACACCCGTTCCCCAGGAAGACTGGAGACCCCAGATGTTCGTTTCCCTACGGACAGAGAACTCCAGAAGACAGCGGCTCTCGCAGAGAATAGCCTCAAGGTAAAGGGTGCGGGGAAAAGCAAGGGCGAAGGAGCCTCAAATGGAAAGATGATGCTCGCGGATCCCGAGCGAATAAAAGGCAATCGGACGGAGACTCGTTGCCAGGATGCAACGAGTCTCCGTCCGGTAACGGAAATCTATTTCGGAGAAAAAATGAATTCCTGGCACCCAGTCGGTGTTCCGTTTCCAAGCGGAGCTTTTCGAGTCGCCCACCCGAGAACGAAACGATATCCGAGGTGGAATTCCCTTCGTTCCCTTCCCTGGAGTTTATGCTCCCGGTACACCGAAACGATGACGATGACTCGTCGAAACCGTTCCGGAAAGAATGCAACCCTTGGCGCCGTATCCATTTCGTTGTCTTTATTTCTGACGCGTCTCCTCGAGATCCATCGTCTCCGTGACGGTACGAATTACGAAAGAAGACGAAACCCTAGTCGGGCGGGATGAAAAGATTAAGGGACCTCTCCGTGGAGTTTTTTTCGCAGCGAGTCTTCTCGGTTCACCCAGATGGCTTCCGATCGAGTCGCGATGGTGTTTGCCCTCGGTCGTCTCATTCGTGCAATGGGATCTGTCCGTTGATTAGTCACGGGATATGTTTATCCTGGGAGAATTTGCCTCAGTTCTTGTTTGGATTGTTCCCGACTGCTTCTCGGAGGAAGAAATAGGGGTGGAAAAAAATACACGATGCCGACTTCACGTCTTGCGATTCCTCGTCTCGGTTGCGCTTCTCGTCTCGGTTGCCCCCTTTGTCTCGGTTGTTCTTCTCATCCCGACCGCATTTACATTCTCTCTCTCACCCTCTCTCTCTCTCTGTCTCTTCGCCGGGGTCGCATTTTGGGCTTTGGCAAGGGACCAGCGAGGCGACACAAAACGAGGCAAAGACAGATTTGTGCTAAAAATAATGGGTACGATCTCGGGGGTGGAGCACGTGGGTTTCGCTCGTTCTCGAGCGCAACCCTCGCGACGCCGAAGGAGACGGAAACCAGACGTCTGTCCCGAGATCCAGAGATTCCTTCGCATATCTGCCTAAGCTCTGTTCCTCATTTCCTGAGGAAAATCCAGAACCGACAGACTTCATTTGCTGCTTCGAAGAATATTCGATTAAGAAAAGACATCGAGGGGGAGAGACGAGATTCATCACCACGCCTATGAGTATTTCCTCCCCCTTCCCCTTTCGTCACGCATGGAGGCATTCCATCGAGCATTTCCTCGCGGAAACGAGAATATCTGCACGGCCCAGAGACTCGCGTGAGATCCACGTGAACCCTCCGTGAGTCCTCCGTGAGGCCTCCGTGAGACGGGCGGAATCCATCTCCCTCCCGGGAGCGACGGACGATTACGGCGCTCGCATTTCCGGGATATATTCGCCTTGGCTTCGGAAACGCTGGCAATCCGGAAAGCGAAAATTTCCGGTGCGGAAGAGAACGGGAAGGGCACGGAATGGAACCCCCAAAAACCTAAGGAAATTGGACTTCCTGGCCGAACGATCGTTCGAGGTCGTATTCGAGACGTTATTTGAAAGTTCGGAAAAGGTTCCTCTCGACGAGGCTTCGAAAAGCAAGGATCGGTGTACGAACGGCCCCGTATGGGAATCAATTTAACATAGATAATCTCATTCCCATAGATCGACTCCCATTATGAAAGCAAATCAGTTTAGAGTTAAACGAATCTGGTGCACGTCACCCTTAGTAAACCGTGTTCATCTCGTCTTTAAACTAATCCGATTCCTCAATCGGTGCATGCCATCCATTAGGTGGGCTTCTAAGCTTCTACGGCTTTGAAGTGCTTCAAAGACTCGTCTGTGGATTCCTCACTTCTTCCTTATCTTTTCATCACTCGAGAGGAAATGCATTTCATTACCTCATGCGAGTAGCAGGAAGTGATAGTCGTTGCCATTGGGAGAAATATCGGTACCAGCACTTCGGGTTCGATAATTCAGACCCCATCCCAAAAAAAGCAGCCGCCTCCAGACAAATCCACTGATACCGATATCTTTTTTTTAAGCACGTGTTGGTCAGTGACTTTTTGATAGTGAGCAATTCCAAGTATTTTCGGTTCTGGACTAGTTGCTCTAACGACTCTCAGGCACGTCTTCTTAACGATATGAGGCCAAGTACCCCCTCTGTCCATATAAGTTCAGTAGAGTTACCAGTTCTTTTCCCTCGCTCGGTTTGTGTATTTTAGATTGTAAGTCCGTTCGAACACTTCCAGTATCAGAGGAATACTTCGGACGTCCAGAAGACGCAGAACCAGATCGAAGCGAGTCCAAGAGATGGCGTCCATCTCCTCAAAGGATTAGGAGTATTTTCCCTCTTTCAGATCTTCCTGAGGTCTTGAGTACGTATTAGTACTCTCAGTCCCAATTTGATACATGAGACCGCCAAAAGACACCCAGTGACATCGAGTAGATGCCACCGGTGACCTCGTGCCGAGATCGATTCGGTAGTTTTTGCAAAAATTCGATCCGTATGCTTTTCGTATCGAAGACCATTGAATACTTTTGGTATAAGATGAGTATTTGGGATCCCGAATCGGCACACTACGGCATCGAGAAGAGTCCAACGGTGTGCTTCATCGACGGCTTCCTCGTCTCCACAAGTACCGAACCGAAACAGTCCATACTTGGAGGATCCGAGGATGGCAAGAGAATGGAGTGCGCCGATTTTACAGTTCACGATTCGGCGCGAACGTGAACCACGGAGTTGGAATTCACGTTAGAGAGGGCCATGATGCATTACTACGAAGCATCGTCTCGTCTCGTGATTCCGTTGCCGAATGCAGTGCTGCGATGCTTCTCATCGTGGAATGTCCCCTCGTGAGGCCATGAGCAGCAAGGACAGGGGATTACTTATTAATGGATCTCGTAGATCCCGGATCGTGTCCATTCGCTGACGGGTCCCTTTTCCCCAGCGGCGATGGGAAATGAACATATCGAGTGACAGGGTCTCTCGTTCCCTCGGTCTTCCTTCCCTCTTGTGAGAGCAAGTAAAAAAATAATAATAATATGAAAAGGGAGGGAAAGTGGATGTTTCCCTCCCTGGTGAGTACCCTACCTCTCTAAGTTCGCCTCTCCCTGCCCACTCCCCCATTTCCCTTCCCATATCCTCCCTGCACATTCCCCCATTCCTACTCCCCCCCTCCCCTCTTCTGCCCAGTCCTCGAGTGAGGCCCCATTACTTACTTCACCTAGTTTCCTTTCTCTTTCCATGTTCATGGGATCCGGATGCATGGGCATCCTTTATCTTGGGAGCACAAAGAAATGTCGATATCTCGTCCCCATTCGCCGACCTTTCAAAGCTTCTCGCCTCTCTGGAATAAGATTTTCCCGGGAATGAAAGCGAAAAAAAAACTCATTCGTTTAAGAGAACCTTCATTGTCATGGAAAAAGTTCGAAATGGAGATTCATGATGGAATCACCTATCCCTCTCTATGGGTGACGCATCAAATGAGGAATAGGATTAGTTTAAAAGCGAGTTAAACGATTTCGGTAAAACCAATTTACGAATGCGTTTATATTTTGCATGCACTATCAGATAATCATTATTTTCCCCGATCATGCTTTCGACCATGCTTTAAATGCAATCGAGAGCCGATTTTTATCAAGCAGATACGTTTCACGGGTTCAATAACAGTCGATTGACTTGGACTCGGAAAAAGTTGTTACAATTTTGTTCCTTATCGTGCATGATTGCAAAATGCAGAAAACCTTTATTTGTGAAATATACGAAACCCATGTCATAGATACTCGAGGTCAGAGGTCAACGATTTCTGGAGGTCACCGGTTCGTTTCGCCTCGCCTCGCATTTTTGGCTTTCACATGCAGACGCTTAATGCCTTCCGAAAGCTGAGACTAACAAATGAATAAGACGGAGTCCCGAAATTACTTTCCCCCGGATGCGAATGGATCCCTGCCTCTGGAAGCCCCGAACGAAGGGATTCTCGAACACCTTCAAGTGTGAATTTCTATCGATCATCTCGGTTCACCGTGGATTCACGAAGTGCCCCGTGCGATATTCTCGACTTTTTCCTCGAGATGGCAGGTAATTTCTTACGACTGTTAATTCCCATGCGATGGATGATTCGAATCCAAAGCGATTTGCCATTTACGGGTTTGTTGCCTTTTGCAAGACAAAGCCCTTTCCGATCGAGTAGGAGAGGAATTTTTTTCTTCCAGCTCTCGTCTCCTCAAAAAGACGGATCTTCTCGAGTCTGCGTTCTACTTCGCTTGTCGTCGATTTCACGACTATGTGACGAACGAAGAAAGAGTCGAAGACGCCGGTTTCTCCCCGAGGGCTTTCCAGTGTCTCCAAGGCTTTTATCTCCCATCAGGAAAGGAAGAGCAACGGTACAGGCGTTTCTGCTTTCCCCTCGGCATTCCAAGAAGTCACGACATCGTCTCG